GCTTTCCACTTCACCCCTTTGTCCGGGGGCTCATGTTCTACTACGGCCTGGATTTCCATGATCTGGTGCCGAACTTCATCCTCAACATCTCGGCGTTTATCGTCGTGTGCGAGGCCTTCCTCTGCATCCAGCCTCACTTCGGCTTATGGCTCAAGACCTTCAATGTCAAGCCGAAGGTGGTGAAGGGCACTCAAGCGGAGTGCGGAGGCGCCATGTTGGGCAAGATGCCCAACGTCCTTTGGTTCGAAGGGGCCTTCGTGGAATCCGTCAAGGGGTGGCAGTCGGGGTGGTTCTATATCACCGAGCCGCGCGACCCTACGTGGGCGGTGGCCCCCGAGTTTAGATCTGGTATCCCTACGCAGCTCACCTCCTGGAAAGAGAAGGGCTTGCGATGGGGTAATTCGAAGGAGCTGACGGGACTCCAAGCCTGTATCCAGAAGCTGGTGAACAAGAAGCTCAGGCTGGTTAACGTTATTAGGAGAATGTTGTGATTGACTTGACCCATTCCGTTAGCTTAGCACTTGATCGTTTAGTATGTTGCCATTGCTTTCTTCATGACTTATACATGTTCTTATGACTATGAGATTATGCAACTCCCGTTTACCGGAGGAACACTTTGTGTGCTACCAAACGTCACAACATAACTGGGTGATTATAAAGGAGCTCTACAGGTGTCACCAAAGGTACTTGTTGAGTTGGCGTATTTCGAGATTAAGATTTGTCACTCCAATTGTCGGAGAGGTATCTCTGGGCCCACTCGGTAATGCACATCACTATAAGCCTTGCAAGCATTGTAACTAATGAGTTAGTTGCAGGATGATGTATTACGGAACGAGTAAAGAGACTTGCCGGTAACGAGATTGAACTAGGTATTGAGATACCGACGATCGAATCTCGGGCAAGTAACATACCGATGACAAAGGGAACAACGTATGTTGTTATGCGGTTTGACCGATAAAGATCTTCGTAGAATATGTAGGAGCCAATATGAGCATCCAGGTTCCGCTATTGGTTATTGACCGGAGACGTGCCTCGGTCATGTCTACATAGTTCTCGAACCCGTAGAGTCCGCACGCTTAAAGTTTCGATGACAATTATATTATGAGTTTGTGTGTTTTGATGTACCGAAGGAGTTCGGAGTCCCGTATGAGATCGGGGACATGACGAGGAGTCTCGAAATGGTCGAGACGTAAAGATCGATATATTGGACGACTATATTCGGACATCGGAAAGGTTCCGAGTGATTCGGGTATTTTTCGGAGTACTGGAGAATTACGGGAATTCGTATTGCGCCTTAATGGGCCATACGCGAAAGGAGAGAAAGGCCCCAAAGGGTGGCCGCACCCCTCCCCATGGACTAGTCCGAATTGGACTAGGGAGGTGGGGCGCCCCCTTCCTTCCTTCTTCTTTTTCCTTCCCTTCTCCTACTCCCACAAGGAAAGGAGGAGTCCTACTCCCGATGGGAGTAGGACTCCCCCCTTGGTGCGCCCCCCTCCTTGGCCGGCCGCCTTCCCCCCTTGCTTCTTTATATACGGGGGCAGGGGGGCACCTCTAGACACAACAACAATTGATTATTGATCTCTTAGCCGTGTACGGTACCCCCCTCCACCATAACCCACCTCAATAATATCATAGCGGTGCTTAGGCGAAGCCCTGCGTCGGTAGAACATCATCATCGTCACCATCCCGTCGTGCTGACGGAACTCTCCCTCAAAGCCTATTTATTACTCCTGGAATTATCTATTTATCGGGATAGATAATACCCCATTCTAGGAAGGGCTGAGTTGAGTATTATTAATTTAGAAGATATGCTCACCTTCTTATTTCCCGTCCTTAGTTTAGGAAAGTGGAAAGTTTTTTCTTTTATTTTAGGAATTTTGGGGCTCGTAGTACCCCCCTTTTCTTGATCCAGCCTTTTCTTCGCTTCAGTAGTTAATCACCTAAAATCCAAGGGAGGCTGGCCTGCACGCCATACCTATACCCATACAGTGCCGGGCAGGCGGTGGACTCATTTTTGGATTAGGGAAGGGAAGAAGGGGCCTAAGCACGGCAGATGCCGTACACTTGAGTGGCGCCAGTACGAAAAGTTCTTAATGTTAGTTGAGTCCCCGGCTCCCCAATTGATTGACCTGCAATAATACCTACGGCTTCTCCCAATTCGACCAGATCACAATACTAACTGCACCGTCTAAATGCTCCCTGACCAAGTTTGCGTACTCGTCAGGGTTGAGTTGAGGGGGCAGCCCGTGCGCTAATTGGGCTTCGAGGTGGCTATACGCGAAAAAAGCTCGCTTTCTACTTTTCCCGCTAGGATCGGAAATCTTATATTTTCCATATCCATATACCATTGAATCCTTGGGGTTCCAGAATCCGCCTATTTTACTAGTCTTCGGAAACGGAAAACCCTGAACTGAACACCGTAATTGATGAGTGAGTAGGTGGGTTAGGTGCACCCCTCGCCCAGTGGGCTCGGCTGGATCGGAGTTCGAGGGACGTCATCGAGCTGAACGTGTGCTGAACTAGGAGGTGCCGTGCGTTCGGTACTTGATCGGTTGGATCGTGAAGACATACGACTACATCAACCGCGTTATGCTAACGCTTCCGCTTTCGGTCTACAAGGGCACGTGGACAACACTCTCCCCTCTCGTTGCTATGCATCACCATGCTCTTGCGTGTGCGTAGGAAAATTTTGAAATTACTATGTTCCCCAACATTGTCCATGTGTTGGTTTCAAGGAGTTTATGAGATGACCGAAGTGTTATTCAAGGAATTATCCAAAGTTTGGTCATGTAGAAGACATGATGCAATGTTGATCAAGACTAAGTCAACGAATGAATCAAGTTGATCAACACACAAAGCGTAGAAGATGTACCGAAAGGGCTCAAGTGATCCCATGGTATGGTACGTATTGTGCATTACACTTTGTGTACTAACCCATGGTCTACGTGAGAGTAGTTTGTGGGGTTAGGCATATTTCCATGCGCTTGCGTCAAGAGGGAAATCTCATACAACCCATAAAGGATGACATCAAGTGGTGATCGTCATCAAGATTGCGGTGTGCAAATTTAAGTGGATCATCACGACGTCTCCGTCGTATCTATTTTTTCAAACGCTTTTGCTCTTGTTTAGGACTCTAATTTGCATGATTGGAGTGAAACTAACCCGGACTGACGCTATTTTCAGCGGAACTATCATGGTGTTGTTTTTGTGCAGAAATAAAAGTTTCCAAAATGGAACGAAATTTTTTGAAGAATTTTTATGGAATAAAAGAAAAATACTGGAACCAAGAACCACCGGAGGGCGGCCCCTAAGTGAGCACAACCCACCAGGGCCACCCCCTCTTATTCCATCCAGGTGGGTTGTGCCCACCTGGTGGCCCCGCTGACCCTATCTCCGATACTATAAAATACTATGTTTGGAGAAAAAAAATCAAGGAAGAATACCGAGCCCCGCCGCCGCCAGCCGGGCTTCGCCCGGCCGCACCCTCTGGCCACGGCGAGGGAGGAGAAGGGAGGCGGAGGGGGCTAGAGGAGGGGATCGAGGAGCCTTCCCCCGGGCTCCTTGCGGGCGCGGGAGGGATAGGGTTCGGGAGGGATGGGTCGCTCGTTGTAGTGATATCATTCGGGAAAAAAGATGTAGATGCAGGTGGATTGGCCGTGCTTTTCGTGGGGTGAGCACTACTTCAAGCAGTGTGCGTCTCGGCAGCATCCACGTTGGTTGGAATTATTGGCATGAAGCACCACGCAATAGGGCACTATAATAGTGAAGAAGACTTAAGGCCCACTTAAGAAAAAAATCCTCCCTAACCACAGACGTAACCACTGAAGCAAAACGTCATTACAATCAGCTGTACTACAAATTATAGATGAAAATGAAAGGTGCTACTGTGCCATTAGTGGTATGCAGATGCACATGCAAATCATGGGGAAAGAAATATCACAGACGCCACCAGTGCAGTATTATGATCAAATTATGGGAAAAGTTTGCAGCTAGCGTCACGTTGCACAACCGTCAGAAACACTGCCGGAAATGACCAACACACAAAGAAGGAAGCGAAACGTAGAGATCAAGCGGACCGTATTGCTGCTAGGTGCCAAGATCATACATCCATGACCCCGAAATAAATACATGCGTCCACAGTGAGCTAGCCATCGCCCCCACCCCGGAGTAAAGCCGCGCCATGCATAGCTGGTGGTTTTGCTGTTTCTGCACCGCTCCACTCCGCCCACCTGCCACCGAATTGAATTCCTCCCGGCTTCCAGCCAACAGATCGATGGTAGTAGGAATCAAACAAAAACCAATCAGCCGGAGAAAAGAATGACCCGAGAGAAAACGTTGCCGTCTCGCCGAGATTAGATTAATCTCAGCAAGCAAAAAAGCGAGCGTTCACACTAACTGATCAGCATGCCGCCGGCGGGGCATGTGTACTACCATATGTTTTCTTGGGTCATTCTTATCTCATGCCATGTGTACTGTTGCATGCGTGCCAGTCCGATAGAAAACTGAAAAGAGAGAAAGCACTATCATGCTAACATAATCACTTGTTTAGCAAGTTGATGTACTACTAGCATATAGCGCCAGTGAGCGTTGTGCTGATGCTGAAAGCAAAAAATACCTTTTTCTTTACACGGATGCTGATAGCAACCTGCGTGGAGCGCAGCGCCTACACAATCTAGCGAGAAGCGGGGGAGCCGTCAGAGGCCACCGAAGCGTCGCTGTCGGCCGGGGCCCACGCGGCAGAAATAATGTGACGACAGCGAGCGGCTCATGATACCAGCACGGGGGGAATTGGATGGGAATGGAAAAGGAGGGAGATTTTTGTTTCCGCCCTGCCAGGTGGCTTAATTTAATCCTCCCCCCACCTCCCCTCCAGTGTGCGCGCGTTGCCCATCATGCATAGTTGTGTCCTGGTTGTGGTGTAGCCATCCGACCCTGTTCGTGCCCGGACACGCGCAGAGCTCAGCCAGCGGCAGCAGTGCAGCGCGGCGCCGTCGCCGTTGATGGAGAGCAGGCGTCCGAGCTCCGTGCTTCTCTTGCTGGTGCTGCTGGCGGCGCCGCTCATGGTGGCGTCGGCTGGCCCCTCGTCGCCGACGGCGTTCCTGGAGGACGACGTGGTCCTCGGCGCCGTGGCGAGGCTGGGCAAGGGCGCCAACGCCAGCGGGCGGGGCGGCGCCCGCTGCGACGTCGACGTCGACATCTCCGCCGTTGTTGGCGGGCCGTCGCGCGAGCGCGGCGCGTCCGGGTGGAAGGAGGAGATCGCGGGGCTGGCGGGGCGGCCGGAGATGGCGGCGTGGCTGCGGCGGGTGCGGCGGCGGATCCACGAGCGGCCCGAGCTGGCGTACGAGGAGGTGGAGACGAGCCGGCTGGTCCGCGAGGAGCTGGAGGGCATGGGCGTCAGCTTCCGGTACCCGCTCGCGCGCACGGGCCTCGTCGCCACCATCGGAACCGGCCGCCCGCCCGTCGTCGCGCTCCGGGCCGACATGGACGCGCTGCCCATCCAGGTACGTACAAGGAACTGCCGCTGCTACGTGAACAGACACGTGTTCTTATCTCGCGCACGTGCGCCTTTGCAGCCTCTGAGTGCCCATAACAAACGATCGAGCCCAGCATGCTACTAGGTTCCACACAGATTCTTAGATTTCTCATCGTCATGACATACTCTATCCGCTTGTCTTCTAAACAATAGAATGGCTATTTTTTGGTTCTTTTTTTTTTAATTGTCGTTCCTCGTGAATTGCTTTGGGGTTCAAAGCGCATGAGACGAGTTTGTTTGCTGTTCAACCTATTTATGTTTGGGAATTTGGGAGAGGTAGGTTGTGGCCAGAGAATAGATGCACCACCAATGCATTATGACTCCCCACTACAAAAATGACTAGTTTTTAGTTTGGGCCTTCTTTCACCATCTAACTCGTATTTTTAACTTGTGGTTGCTGGGTCGATGATTTAACTTGGATAGACAGAAACAACAAAACAGAAAGGAGTGGCCTCTGCAGGAACACGCGGCTGTGGACGTTGCGCGGGAGCAGTCTCGATCCATCGACCGAGTTCATCAGAAGCGTCTGCTTATTTTCATCAGAAATCAGAAAGATGACAAATCGTTTTTAATTTTTTTTGCTCCTCGTTCCGGTGCCCGAAACGGCACCCGCCGTTGGTGAGACCCTGGACGCGCGGATCCCGGTTGCCATGCGAAACCCCCGTCTTTCTGAGTGCCCACAACGGGCAGTTTTTACGCCAAAAAGCCATAGACTTTTCTCCTGCTTTTCCTCGCCTTCTCTCTCTCTCTCTCTCCCCCGCCCCGGCCTTTCTCCTGCTTTTCCCCTGCTGTTCACTCGTTCTCGCTCGACTCCAGCCGAACTCCTTTCGTGGCATGACACGTTCGGTTTGTGGCTGTTGTTGGTTGCAGGAGGCGGTGGAGTGGGAGCACAAGAGCAAGAACCCCGGGAAGATGCACGCGTGCGGCCACGACGCGCACGTCGCCATGCTGCTCGGCGCCGCCAGCATTCTCAAGGCCCGCGAGCGCCACCTCAAGGTACGTAACCTCTCTGAACTTAATTCCCATCAGTGGCTGCTAGCTAGCACGCTGAACTTCACCTTTGAGTGGCTACGATCTTCCCAATAGCTGTCCGTTGCTAGCCGTTCCTCCCGTCTGCCCGCACGCCACCATTGCCGTGCAAGGGACCCTGTACATGTCCCTCTGCTACACTGGCTGCGGGCTAGCTCTAGCTGTGCCGATGTGATTTCGCAATGCGTGCGGGTTGGGCGTACGCACTAGGTTTGCTTTGCGAGACCAGATCGAAGGGCGCATGCTTAAGCCGAAAATCATATCATAAGACCGTCGGCCGGCGTAAAGTGTTAAAGCTGTCGCGGCGGCATCATCGTGTTGATGGTGGCGTCAGGACAAACATTCCAAGACCCTCTGCTTTACTCGAGCTTCCTCTTCACGTGTGTCCTCGCTACTGATTAGCTTCCTCTTCACGTGTGTCCTCGCTACTGATGGTGGCGTACAGTAGGATTTTTTTAAAGAATGATTAGCAACTACTACTGGTACAGTGGGATTATTGATTTATTTTTTAACAATGATTAGCAACTAGGATTTGTAAGCGTTTAAGACGTGATCGCCGCCGTCTAGTCTAGCAAAAGTCGTCAGGGTTGGTGCGGATATATGCTCGCAGTCATTCATCTCTCCGATTGCGCCAAGGACAGAATTTGTTCGCCTTCATTAACTGCATTTTCTCAACGTAATGCGATGCTGGTGGTACAACATTCCTTCACTTTGGTTCACTGCTTTCGAGAGGTGGATCAGATGCCCCGTGTTCGACGGAATGCCTGGTCATTGTGTACGTTATACTATGAGACTCGTGCAAACTTTTAAGGGCACGTGGTGCGCGGAAGCAAAACTTACACTAGTATGATCATAATCTTTTCTGAATTATTGTCATTTACCACTACTTCAGCAGTGACTGCAATCAAAGGGTTTTAAGTCTGTGGGCACATCTGGTCATGTCCATGTCAAATTTGTGTCGCCGTCTTCTTCAAACCTGTCCTTATTACACCAGCTACTGCAACTCTGTCAAACATGTGGGAACCAAGTCCTGCAGTTAACATAGGGTTCAAGTTAATACACTAGTGTATTTTATCTTCAAGAAGAAAAAAACATACTACTGAAATTCAGACATACAGTCAAATGAGAAACTTAAACTGTACTCCGTGGCACTTGGTAATGTGCAGGGCACGGTGAAGCTTCTGTTCCAGCCGGCGGAGGAGTCCGGCGCGGGAGCGAAGCGGATGATCGAGGACGGCGCGCTGGAGGGCGTGGAGGCGATCTTCGCCGTCCACGTGTCGCACCAGCACCCGACGTCCGTGGTCGGGTCCCGGACGGGGCCGCTGCTCGCCGGCTGCGGCTTCTTCAAGGCCCAGATACTCGCCCGCCGCGCCGGCGCCGACCCGGTCCTCGCCGCCTCGTCCACCATCATCAGCCTGCAGAGCCTCGTGTCCCGCGAGGCGGACCCGCTGGACTCACAGGTGGTGTCGGTGGCCATGGTCAACGGCAGCTTCAGCCTGGGCGGGGACCCGGCGGCGCCGCTGGTGCTGGGCGGCACGTTCCGGGCCTTCTCGAACGCGAGCTTCTACACGCTGCGGCGGCGGATCGAGGAGGTGATGACGCTGCAGCCGCGGGTGCACGGCTGCGAGGCCTCCGTCGACTTCTTCGAGAACCAGAGCTTCTATCCGCCCACGGTGAACCACCCGCGGATGTACGCGCACGTCAAGGCCACGGCGCGGACGCTGCTGGGCGACGCCGGCTACCGCGACGTGCCGCCGATGATGGGCGCCGAGGACTTCTCCTTCTACTCCCAGGCCGTACCCGCCGGGTTCTACTACGTCGGCGTGCGCAACGAGACGCTGGGGTCCGTGCACACCGGCCACTCCCCCTACTTCATGATCGACGAGGACGTGCTCCCCACCGGCGCCGCCGTCCACGCCGCCATCGCCGAGAGGTACCTCGCCGGCGGCGCCGAGCGCGACGGCGATCCACGCTCCCCGGAGCAGGAGCCGTGAACCTGCGATCGGCCGAGACGTACATACGCTGGCCCGGCCGGTTCTTGTTTAACTGATCGATCGACCGGAGTTGCGGTTGCGGGTTCAGTCCCGGGAGGGTGGCGGGATCGACGTCGCGCGCGAGAGAACCGGTGGTTTTTGGCCGATCACGCCGTGATCTGGGCTGTCTTTTTCCCCCTCCGTGCTCGTGTTGGCTCTGAAACTTGCCGTTGAGACGCGGTTACGGTTTGGCTCCCGGGTTTTGCCTGCGGCCTTGTGGGTGTGGCCGTGCGTGTTTGTGCCTGCCGAACGTGATCGGGAAACATGCACCTTAGCACCGACATTAACATATTCTGGAGATTGAGAAGTACTATCAGCTATGTACATATTTCTTCCGGTGGCATTTTCTTCTTTGAACGTTTTTCTTTCTTTTGGGTCTTGACTATATCATATCTAGATGTGAGATGAGATATTGTCTCGCATCTAAGTTTTGACATCAGCAGAAAATCATTTGTATTATTTTTTCCAAATGATAGGTGTCACACATATGGCATGAAGTAACACTGCTCTGACGTTTTTTTTCCCCTAACGATCTTTACACTAGAGTTGCCGTCTAAAAAAACAAACTCAAAAACATAATTGAAACCTGTCATCCAAACAAAAAGTTATCATGCTTCACAACTAAAGTTGTCATCCTCGGATAACTAAACTTGCTATCAAAAAATGTCAGGGTCAAATTGCTTCGTGCCACATGTGTGGCACTTATCAAGGTCTTTATTTTTTGGTCCGGCAGCTGCAGCATCGCAAGAAAGAAAATCAAATGACAGACTATGCTGCTTAGGAATCAAGCTTGGAACTGCACATTGGGAAACACTAGTGCCTACCACTCCAACTAATAGTTGTTGAGTATTTGGAAGCGGGAAGTGACTAAGAACATAGTACGGCGTCAAGATTAGAAGACACTTAAAAAATTTGAAACCTTATTTGCAAATTGTCAACAATTTTTAAATGCCGAATATTTTTCAATACACAAACAAATTTAAAATTTTGAAAACCCTTTTTGAAATGTGAATAATTTTTGTAATTCCATTTTTTAAAATAAGAACAATATGGTATTCCAGACAATTTCTTCACGAACAGAATTTGAGAAAAGTGAACAAGTTTTGAAAATCCTGGAACAGTTTAGCTTATTTTTATTTTTGAAAATGTTGACACTTTGAAAATTCGGTTTTTTTAAACACAAATAAATTTAGTTTATTTTTGTTGTACTCATAAATTTCATTAAAAAATGTTGACATTTGAAAAAATATTCATACATTTCAAAAGAATATTTGGATGTTTAAAAGAATGTATTATACAATGAAAAAAAGTTCGGGCCTTAGTTGCGAGTCGAGGATAGAATTGCAACTAGGACAACAAGAAGGCCAGACCCCCGGTTGTGAGTCGAGGATGGGATTGCAACTAAGACAAAAAAGGTGGACCCTAGTAGCAAGTCAAGGTTGGACTTGCAATTGGGACAAAAAAAGACCAAACCCCAGTTGTGAGTCACTGGTTGACTTGCAATTGGGACAAAAAAAGACCAAACCCCAGTTGTGAGTCACTGGTTGACTTGCAACTGAGACAAAAAAGGTCGCATGCTAGTTACTGTTGGGGAACATAGTAATTTCAAAAAATTTCCTACGCACATGCAAGATCATGTTGATGCATAGCAACGAGAGGGGAGAGTGTGTCCACGTACCCTCGTAGACCGAAAGCGGAAGCGTTAGAACAACGCGGTTGATGTAGTCGTACGTCTTCACGGCCCGACCGATCAAGCACGAAAACTACGGCACCTCCGAGTTCTAGCACACGTTCAGCTCGATGACGTCCCTCGAACTCTGATCCAGCCAAGTGTCGAGGGAGAGTTCCGTCAGCACGACGGCGTGGTGACGATCTTGATGTTCTACCATCGCAGGGCTTCGCCTAAGCACCGCTACAATATTATCGAGGAGGACTATGGTGGAGGGGGGCACCGCACACGGCTAAGAGATCAAGAGATCAATTGTTGTGTCTAGAGGTGCCCCCTGCCCCCGTATATAAAGGAGCAAGGGGGGAGGGGGCGGCCGGCCAGGGAGGAGGCGCGCCATGGGGAGTCCTCCTCCCACCGGGAGTAGGACTCCCTCCTTCCTTGTTGGACTTGGAGAAGGGAGGAAAGAGGAGGGAGAGAGGAAGGAAAGGGGGGGCGCCGCCCCCTCTCCTTGTCCTATTCGGACTAGGGGGGAGGGGCGCGCGGTCCAGCCCTGGATGCCTCCCCTCTTCTCCACTAAGGCCCACTATGGCCCATTAAGCCCCCGGGGGGTTCCGATAACCCCTCGGTACTCCGGTAAAATCCCGATTTCACCCGAAACACTTCCGATATCCAAATATAGGCTTCCAATATATCAATCTTCATGTCTCGACCATTTCGAGACTCCTCGTCATGTCCGTGATCACATCCGGGACTCCGAACAATCTTCGGTACATCAAAACTCATAAACTCATAATATAACTGTCATTGAAACCTTAAGCTTGCGGACCCTACGGGTTCGAGAACTATGTAGACATGACAGAGACACATTTTCGGTCAATGACCAATAGCGGAACCTGGATGCTCATATTGGCTCCTACATATTCTATGAAGACCTTTATCGGTCAAACCGCATAACAACATACGTTGTTCCCTTTGTCGTCGGTATGTTACCTGCCCAAGATTTGATCGTCGGTATCCAATACCTAGTTCAATCTTGTTACCGGCAAGTCTCTTTACTCGTTCCGTAATGCATCATCCCGTAACCAACTCATTAGCTACATTGCTTGCAAGGCTTATAGTGATGTGCATTACCGAGAGGGCCCAGAGATACCTCTCCGACAATCGGAGTGACAAAACCTAATCTCGAAATACGCCAACTCAACATGTACCTTTGGAGACACCTGTAGAGCTCCTTTATAATCACCCAGTTATGTTGTGACGTTTGGTAGCACACAAAGTGTTCCTTCGGTAAACGGGAGTTGCATAATCTCATAGTTGTAGGACCATGTATAAGTCATGAAGAAAGCAATAGCAACATACTAAACGATCAAGTGCTAAGCTAACGGAATGGGTCACGTCAATCACATCATTCTCCTAATGATGTGATCCCGTTAATCAAATGACAACTCATGTCTATGGTTAGGAAACATAACCATCTTTGATTAATGAGCTAGTCAAGTAGAGGCATACTAGTGACATCAAGTTTTGTCTATGTATTCACACATGTATTATGTTTCCGGTTAATACAATTCTAGCATGAATAATAAACATTTATCATGAAATAAGGAAATAGATAATAACTTTATTATTGCCTCTAGGGCATATTTCCTTCAGTCTCCCACTTGCACTAGAGTCAATAATCTAGATTACACAGTAATGATTCTAATACCCATGGAGCCTTGGTGCTGATCATGTTTTGCTCGTGGAAGAGGCTTAGTCAACGGGTCTGCAACATTCAGATCCGTATGTATCTTGCAAATCTCTTTTTCTCCCACCTGGACTTGGTCCCGGATGGAATTGAATCGCCTCTTGATGTGTTTGGTCCTCTTGTGAAATCTGGATTCCTTTGCCAAAGCAATTGCACCAGTATTGTCACAAAAGATCTTCATTGGTCCCGATGCACTAGGTATGACACCTAGATCGGAAATGAACTCTTTCATCCAGACTCCTTCATTTGCTACTTCCGAAGCAGCTATGTACTCCGCTTCGCATGAATTGAAAAACTTTATGAATTTGAAACACACAAATGAAAGGTGAAGAATAGGAAAAAAGATAATGAAACCAAAAAACACAGTCGTGAGCCAAGTCCATGGCCTGCGCATGCACGACAAGTAGGGTACCTACAAACACATAGTGTTGGGGACATAACTATTGGTATAACCCGCCCAGGAGGGGCCGGGTTATACTTGCAAGTATTCTTGAAGCCCAAGACCCAGGATGGAGATGGCGGTTCAAGAAAGGGACCAAAGCCCAGAGGCGACTTAAGGCCCGTAGTGATAAACCACCATATGTATATGACTTGTATTCTAAGGCAAGAATAGTTAAGAGACCGAGCCGGACACTGTTTATGAGCCGGTCGGGACTCTGTAGAGCCGCTGGGCGTCGACCTCTGTATATAAAGGAATGACTCGGCGGCGGTTAAGGGAAAGTAACATCAGATCGAGAACTAGGTCAAGCGGATTCGCTCCCTGGTTATCGATTCATAAGCAATCCCACCAAAAACTGGATCGTAGGCATTTACCTTCACAGCAAGGGGCCGAACCAGTATAAACCTTGTGTCCTTTGTCCCGTTTAACCCCTTTAAGCTTCCTAGTCGCGATGGCTCCACGACTAAGTCCTTACGTTAGGACATCTGACGTGACAATTCCACGACAGTTGGCGCCCACCGTGGGGCCCGCGCACGGTGGATTTGAGTTCTTAAAGGGCAGCTTCGAAGGGCTCAAGGGATACGCTATGGGCCGGATGACCAAGAGTCGTCGCGGCAAGCTCTACATTGACAACGCAGGCTGGGGCCCCGACGCCGGCTCAATTGAGTATGGGTACCGGGTCCCCTTCGGCGGAATCCACGTCTTCATCGGCAAGATAGGAAAGACGGGCCCTGAGCCGGACATCTGCATTGACATCATCGAGACGGCCCAGCATGCGAGACCCGCTCGGGCTTAACCCGCCATGAGGCGTGCCCTCGTGGGATGCATCCATGGAGGAGAGTTTTCTGAAGGATTTGACTCTGGTGGTGAGACGGCCATCTACTCCGATGGTGAGTCATCCACAGGTGAGACGGATTCGTTGTATCAACTGCAAGACGATGGGCTTGGGGGCTGTTCCGATGGCGGTAGTATTCCGGACCCCTTTGAGCCGCCAAGCAGAGTTGGAATCTTCATGGCAGGTACTCAACCTGCGCTAACTTCATCAACTGTGGCGGCCATGACCTTCGGGACAGCAGCAGCCGGGGCAGGAGACCTCGTACACTCGCCGGCTCAGGTGTTGATGGATCTCACTGATAAGTTGATGACCCTATTAATCGCCGTGGTCAACCCGGTGGATCAAGCTCAGCACATGCAGAAGTGGCGCAGTTGAAGCTTGATATAGCACATGCTAAAGAAAACCTGGAGACAGAGGACGTCAGGATGACTGCTGAGCGGGCGACTCTGGATGTCCGAGCACAGCAGATTCAATCACAGGCTTT